ATTCTTCCTCTGTGACAGGTGGGATGTCTTCAGGGTCAGGCTGCAGTGATGAATAGATCAACTCACGTTGCTGAGGAAACAACGTACAGACGACTTTCTCTAGTAGCTGTGGACATGTAGATGACGGCATTGGTTGACATTTCAGGTGGGTCATGACCACCTTGTACGGTCTACCCCACAGATCTTTCTCTACCTCTTCGACGAATTCCTTCCAATAGCGTCTTTTGCTATCCTTGATGGCTCTATTCAATTTTCGACGGGCCTTATTGTACTCTGCCACCAGTTCTGCAGAGTTAGGTCGACGGTAGCCACGCTGAGATATTCTTCGTCTTATAAAACACTCTTTACGAAGAGCGCTGATATTACCGTTTCGACAGTGTACCGAAGATCGATGATTCATGCCACGTTTCCGGGGAATACAAGCGTCGCAGCCTTGGTTCACTCTCTTCATTAGTTCTTTTGCTTTCTCTTCAGCACTCTCTGTGGTAGTCGGGTTGCTATCTAAGGTTCCATGACAAAATATCCCCCAGGATTAAATATCCCCAAGACAGAATATCCTCAGGACGAATACCCCCGTAACACTTATAAGATTACCGTAAGATGTACGGTGGCGTTTACTCAAGTCAGGTCTTATATTAATATGTGACCGAATAATAGTTACGGGCAACGGTCTCGGATAGCTTAACTGGTAGAGCCTTTGGCGCGTAACCAAACGATCCGGGTTCGATTCCCGGTCCGGGCTGTCCGAATTATTTTTTCGGTCACTAAAGAAATTCCTACTGAGTAAAATAAGGTCCTCCCCTTCCCCTTTATCTTTTATTTACCCAATTCCCAAAATTTGTCACGGAATATGACGCTGACATAGCATCGCGGGTTGTAATGTCCTGGGGGAGTAATGTCTGGGGGATGTAATGTCTGGGGGGATGTAATGTCCAGGGGATATTTAATCATGTAACCCTCGAAGATAATAAACTTCTTGATCCTTTCCAATCTAGATTTAGGAAGTACCATAGCACACAATCGGCATTATTGAGGCTTACTGATGATATCAGGCAGGCGATGGATAAGAATAAACTTACTATATTAGTCCTATTTGATTTGAGGAAGGCTTTTGACTATGTTGATCCCAAAATCATACTGATTACGTTATTTGAGCTTGGATTTTCAATGGAAACAATCATCTGGTTCTTCTCCTATTTGTCAAATCGCTCTCAGTCGATATTGAACGATCTTGGGACTCCAATTCAGCTCCTCAAAACTTCATCTGGTGTTCCTCAAGGTTCTGTTCTTGGTCCAATCCTGTTTCTAATTGTCATGAATTCTGTAGTCAAATGGCTAGTGTATTGCAATCATGGTCTGTTTGCTGATGACAAATATATATACATACACTTCTTTTTGTATCAGCTGCAAGAAGTAGTTGTACAGCTCAACACTGATGCACAATCAGTTGCGGACTGAGCAAAGAAGCATGGCTTGGAGATAAACTTGTTCAAGACCAAAGCTATGATCTTGGGTTCAAATAGTAAGCTGAAACAATTGAATTATTCTCATCTACCACCCATTATTATAGATTGTGTCACAATTCCTTATGTTGATACTTCCAAGTGCTTGGGATTACACATCAGCAGGAACTTAAGTTGGAATCATCACGTCAAACAAGTGGTAAACAAAGTAAATTCAACCCTGCACTCTCTCAAAGTTCGAAAGAACATTTTTTCAACTGATGTACGGAAATTGTTAGTATCAGCAACCGTCTTACCATTTGTTGATTATTGTTCCATCGTGCTAGTAGACTCAACATCTGAAAATGACTTGAAACTTCAGCGTGCAATAAATTGCTCAATTAGATTCATTTTCAATCTTAGTAAAGATGAACATTTAACACCTTATAGACGAGAATTGGGATGGCTCTCTGTGAAATATCGTAGAATGTATTTCATGAGTTGTTACTTCTTTAAGCTACTTCAAGTTGGTGAACCCAAGTACCTGCGTGACTTGTTTATTGAGGAGACCGAAGTCAGACGCTCAGATAGGTTAGCAGCCAAAGTACACTCTCATTTCAAGTTTCCGCATTTTGCTACGACTTTCATGGAGCGTTCATACCAATTAAATGTAATACGTTTTTGGGAAGATCTACCTGAAGATATTGTCAACTCATCTAGTTTGGAAATGTTAAAAAATAAAATCTTTGACTATTTGTTAAATTTGGATCATTGAATAGTAATGTTATTGTAAAGTGAACAATCTCTCTGATTGAACAATTAATTTTAGTTTATTAGTTGTTTATTGGTTGAATCGAATAAGCGTAATTTTCATTATCTTTATTTGGTTTTTGTTTTAGTTTATGTATTTACATTATTTTGTTATTAATATTGTTTTTGTATATTCTATTGTATTTAAAATTGCCATTTGGCCTGTGCCTTGGCATTAATAAATTTATCAATCAATCAATCAATCTCTATCTATCTCTGTTAACTAAAATACTTCTACTTTTCTATAATTTGTATGTACCTTGAGAATCTATCCTGTACATGTACCTGCGTATATCAATTTTCCATACTTACATACAATTGAGTACTTCTACCTTTAATATATTTTCTCTATACTTCCATCGAGTACCTCCTACCTCTTGAGAGGTCGGAGGCCGAGATGGACACTTTGAAGAATTCAGTTCGACCGAGTGACCCCTAAGCTTTATACCGCATTTTAGCAACGTCGTACACGCGTGTAAATTAAAGTTCTTTTAAATAAAATATTGTAATAATATATACGTTCACTTCACTTAAATAATCAACGCCCTTACTTCCCGAACTATTATTTTTATTTTATAAACTTTTTTATAAATTAATTCTGTTTCAATCAAACCAGATCTGAACAGATCGGATTTGATCTAATCAGATCAAATTTGATCTGGACAGATCTGGCCAAAATGCAGATCTGCTCAGATCTGATGAATTTGATCTGATTTGATCAGAGCAGATCTAAACTTTTTTTCCTGGGTATTGTAACGGGTAATTTTTGAGTGTTTTTAAATAACAAAACACTAATGAACGATACTGCGACACAAACGTCCCCGTTGCTCGAATCTGAAGCTCGCCGAAGTCCAGGGTCATAAACGGGGATTACAAAATATAACAAAACCGAAAATAAAAAGCCAAGACAAACTCAATTAAATGTAAATAGCATAATAGATAACTAAATCTAAAGAAATAAACTCGAAAAGTCAAATAGGTTATGATAAAGATAAAATAAAGAATTTATTTATCAAAATCAATTAAATAAGTCAATGAAAAAGATTACAAAACACACGAGCACAAGGATCCCTGCGCAAGGATGACACGCAAAATCGTGAAGCATTTTTCCACATTTTTAACAAATATAAATAATGCTGTGAAGCGGGAAAGAATAGGAGTTACGGATAATTATTACGTGAAGCGTTCCAACATTCACGTAACAGGATAATTGGTAGGAAAGGATTGAGAAAGGATTGTGGAGAGGATCATCTTAATGTGAGTGTATAGAATATGCGAGAAAAAATTATTAGATAGCTCGGACTGGGATAGATCTAATTATATCTGCTCTGATCAAAACAGATCTACTTAAATACGACTTTTTATAGTTTATGTTCTAATAAATAGCTCTTACAAATGCATTAACTTCCATCACGTTTTTTTATTTAATACAAATTATAACCGGATGTTATTGCTTCAATAGAAACTTTGAATATTCTTCTTAACTATCAACTTATGGCAAATTTTATAAGAGTAATTTTCATCTTAAAATTGCCTAAAATATTGAAAAACAATATCCGATCTAAAAATAAATTATTTCTCAAATAATTGTTTAAACAAATGGCTATAAATAATAGATGGTCCGGAATTTCGCAAAAATGACTGCGATATTCGGTTTCAGCGGGTCAAAATACAGAAAGTAATCATATTTTGTACACCGACCTCAAAATTTTACGAAAAGATAATACAGCACCTACACTATTATCTGAAGAGTAACTCAGTTAGGTACTTCTAGTAGCTGAATGGTACGCTCGGGGACTTACATGCAGGAGGACCCAAGTTCGAATGCCCATCATCGCAAATTTTTTTTCAACCATAATTCGACTTCAAATCACGGAAAAATGATATAAAATACATAATTTCTAATTTGCAAGTAGAAATAAAATAAATCTTAGTATTGTTTTTATTTTATAAACTTTTTTATAAATTGATTCTGTTTCAATCGAACCAGATCCGAATAGACTAGAATCAAATCAGATCAAATTTGATGTGGACAGATCTGGCCAAAATGCAGATCTGCTCGGATCTAATGAATTTGATCTGATTTGATCAGAGCAGATCTAAACTTTTTTCCCGGGATTTTACATTCAGTGGTAGGTACAACATCAAAAGGAATGAGGCTTTTAAGGCTTGAATAAGTGTTTTTATTTTGACTCGGACAGCAACGCGTGGCTGGGTCAACTAGTTGCATTGTAAAAATTGAAATAAAAAAATACAATCCTTACTTTTCTTGTTATCGGAGTTCACATGAGTTAAGATGACTATTAATCCCTTATTCAACTAAATATAGTTTAAGTAACTATGCATTAGGATTCAATGTAGAAAAATAATTTTGAACTTCAAATAAATAGTGGTGAAGCTATTTAACTAGATTTTCTTAGTTTAGAGAACTATATTTTCCTCTCAGAGTACCCCCGATTACGTATTCGTTCATCTGCTTGTCAGTTGTTAATCTTATCAATCGCTAATACCATTCTGGACCGATCGAGAGAGAGATCTTATGACACATAAGTAGAAAGAAAATGTAAAATCTAATCATTCGTACAAGAATTTCTACTATAAAACTATACAACACTTTGTTATTTTTGTTTCTGACTTTTCCTAGATGTTCACATTACAAGAATCCCTATTATATTAATAATGTCTATATGTAAGTTTCTCATAAGCAAGAAACTTCACCATATGATTTATTTGTATGTAGATTTACTAAAATAAATGAATCCAATCTGACGAATTTTTGATTTTAACCTAATTGATATCCAATTACAAGAATTTAATTAAAATAGAAAGAATCATTCTATATATTACGGAAACTTCACTTTTCCAAGATATATTGAGTCGAAGTTGTCTCACTGTCTTACAATCAAAGTAGACCATTGTTTTGTACTTAATTTAACCTTAAATGATAATTGAATTCTTCGGACAGTGAAACTGCAAGAGGTGAAAAAAATTTTTCCATACCTGATTCAACGTTAGCAATTCTATGATATAATGGTAACCAAATCAAACAATGTGGCCCTGAATCTGACATGAATATATCGAGAAAATTGTTAACTGTTACTTTTGAGTCCTAGAAATGAAGAAAATTGTGTTATAAATATGATATTAAGTCATTGCTTTCATCGGAACGGTCAATTTATTTACTGATGGTATAATTGAGTTACTTAAATCTTCTGAGTATGGAAAAGATGGTGTTTCATATACTGCAGCGGGAAGAGATAATATTTCTTTCAAGAATTCCGAAAATTTCCAATGAATCATATGGCCATTATTGTCCGATATTTGGGAGTAAATATCTGAAAAAATTAAACCTTTTTCAATCAGTCAAGTTATATTACTTACCAAGATATTATATATAACTTACAACGAAATTTATCAATAAGTTTTCCTGCACACAGGGTTGACAACGCAACTTTTACTGAGAAAACTGTAATTTTATTGGCTTCCCTGTATAAGAGAAATAAAATAATTAGATTATAAAAATCATTTAGAAATAATAAGAAGTAGTAAAAAGGTATCCCTGGTGTGTCTGAATCAAGGTAAGATACTGTACTTCAGGTAATATCACTATAATAATGATAATATGATGTAACGGAGTGCACTTAAAAAATAGTTTTTGACATATCAACCGCGAAAGTTAGATTTTCGAGCAACACACAGAGGGCGTAAAGAATACTATTTCTGGCAATTTATAGTTTAGTTAATTCACCTCGCACTAGTATCGAAAGTAACTCCTCTCTCTCTATCTGTCTCTACATTTCTGCATGACTACGCTAAAATACGCTATAGATGTGTCGAATTATCTTTTAATTTGGCAAACGTCCGCTGGATGGAGTAACAATCTCAAAAAGAATCTTAGCGACAGTTGAATCTTGTAAACAACTTCAACATATACGTGCGTTTAATCCATCGCTATTTAATATCGTGTGACATAACTCTTGTGCCTTTAAATAAAATAAACAGTAATTGAACATTCTTGACTGTTCTCTTAAATCTAACTACCGCAATTGATATGACATAAACTTATGTTCGATACTTTATACTCAAAGGTAGGGAACCTGACAAATTTGAAGTGAAGGCACACGTTTGAAGCTATGGATACATTTTCATCAAGACCTCGTACTATATCCGGACTCGCTACGCTCGTCCAGATAAATAACTCGGTCTTGATAATAATGTACCCATAGCCTCAAACTTGAGACGTCACTTCAAGCCGTCAAAATCCCTACCTTTGCGCATATGTATCGAAAATAACTATTTCTGCTCTGCACAATTCAATATTGCTACTGTCAGGATCCATACGTTGGTATCTAGAGGAGAATGATGTTAGGGAAACTGTATACTAACGGTAGCAATAATATCTTGAATGGCACCCGAATAGATCGTGACGGTCGTTATCCATACTGCTACTCGTATCTGCACGGATTGTACCCGTAACGATACACTCGTTACTTTACAGTAGATGGTGCCGAGCAGAAAACTTTTTTGAAGTTATACTTCTTATGCGACTTCCAAAAAGGTTGCGTTAAACGTTTAACGCTACCATGGAAGGGGTATGAGAGCATTGTTGCGTTAAACGTTTAACGCTCCTGGGGAGGGGGAATAGATAGAGACAGAGCGAGAGTGAGTGCGTGGCACTCGAACGCATGCGCGTAGTATACCTGTTACAGGGCAACGCGAGCGTTAGCAACGAGTAGCGTCCAATATTCCAACGCAAGAGAAAAATAGTTTGGTAAATCCAAAAGTGCACGCCTCATAATCTCATTTTCCACAATAATATTGATTAAAATAAAATACAAAAAACAAAATATTAAAATATTTTTATAAGGCGTGTAAAACTAGAATTTCAAATTCGGAAAAAATGTTTAAATTCGCGTTTCGCGACAAATAGTGTCACCTACTGGACGCAATCCAGAGCATCACATGGTTGACTTGGTTCGCCCCTATTGTGGTTTATGTATTTTTTATATACATATGTATATAAAAAATAAAAATGTCGATATACTAAAACTATGAAGAACAGTCGATAATTTTTTTTGAAGTTATACTTCTTGAGGCGCGTTATGAAAAAATGATGAGAGTGAAATTTTAAGATGCGCGCGCCTCACTGAAACACAAAAGTAACTGGTTGAAGCTGCCTGCTAAACCGCTTATTGGACGGAAAAAAAAGTGTATCACCTGTGAAGTCAACAGAGGTGATGCTAAATTTATGCAACCCGGTGATACAATTTTTGTATCTAATGTATTTTAAATGGAACTAACTTGACGGTAATATTCGTACCCTCAAACCTTGAAACAAATTTTTCAAGACAATATTCTTTTAGCATTGAACATACAAGATCATCGGCCATGTTATTTTCACGTTTTTTTTATAACAAATTCTTAATAAATAAAAAAATACATATGTTACGTCGTGGTTAAATTAACGTTTTTTTATTTGTCTTAAAATAATACGAATTTTTATTAATTTTAAAATATATTTTCAAGAAAGTAAAATTTACAGCAGACACTAATAATGAGAAAACGCATTAAGTGTCTCGTCTGAACTATCTAAAAAAATTTTCGTCATTGGACAGATCCAAGTTCTTTAAGAGATTGAAAATCCTAAATACATAAGTGAATGGAAGTTTTATTGCCCTCTGTATCGACTAGCATTATCTACAAGGACTTTGGAAATTTTAACGTTTTAAATAAAATAAAATTCTAGAGACAAATAAAATAAAATAATTTAAGGAAGATCTGAAAATAATAATAAATGTTAGTAGTAAATTTTAAAATAATAATAACATAAATAATTCAATTGATTCCATTAGTAAAAAAAACAATATTTACAACAATAAAAAATATTTAAATAATCTTAAAGAATAATAACTAATTATTGATAATAAATATTATTATCAATAAATAAATTAGTTAATAATAAAATAAAGGACTTAGTTAACTAAAGAAACTATGTATTTGTGTGTATGTAAATGTACTTGCATGTACACCAACACATAAGTATACATATAGCCTATAATTAAGAGAGAGAGGCAGTTAATTGGATACTGTTTTCCCCCAAATAGTAATTCGGAAACGCCCAAAAATTCGAGTCCCAAAAAGAACTTCGGATGAACTCTCTCTCGTCATCTTGACCCCGAAGTGTACGGATCGCCCAATTAGCTAGTGACCGGGTTTCTCTCACGCAGCTAAATAGTTTTTTTTAATATTGAATCCTCGGTTTGAGCCTCTCGTTAGAACGCACCCTCGTGCGGGAGTCTCTCCAGAGACTCCCGTCGAGGAATCGTTAGTAAAAGATCTCCAGGTTTGCGGATCGTTTTAAATATTAGTTAGTGGCCGGTATGTCTCCCACGTGAACTAAGAAGTGTAAATTAAATAACAAAAGTAGAAGCTAGCGAAATTAAATAATTAATAGAATAAAAATAAAATTATACAGTGTGAGTGTGTGTCGACGATCAGGTATGATTAAATTCAATTTGTAACTTAAACCATGAAAATTTAAATTCTTGTCAATATACGTTGTTAAAATTAAAATCTAAAAAGTACAATTAATTGTATAAAAAAATTTTACAAAAAGACAACCGCACCGTTTTCCTACATCCTTCTGGATTCCCAGTCAAGTGGTTAAAAAATACCAGGACTAAAATAAATTTTTAAGAAATTATGTCCAAAGTTGGACGTAACACATACAACACAAAACATCAACAACAAATATAACCTATACAATATTCAGGCGCATGCGTAGAGCGCACTCATAATTTACTTCACTGTGATGTAGAATCTACATCAAGGTGATACAATATTTGTATCACCTCAAACCAAAACTAACGCCACTTGTACAATCGGATTTTTACATCATTAGTGATGCAATTTATAAATCATCATTTTTTTCCGTGTAAATCTTGAAAAAAAAGCTAATAACAAAATAGAAATAGAACCTCTATTAGTCGCGCTACAATACGTGTTTTAGTTTCATACAAGCGCAAGTTATATATGTGCTAATAAATTATATTCAGTAGTAATTTTAATTGAATATTTTGGTTAATATTATTTACTATTCGTAAATATTAGTGAGAAAAATTAAGCTTATATTCTTTTTCAAGTACTCCAATATGATTGAGGTTAACTATCCATATGTATTATGTATTTATATAAATTAATATATCATTATTCAATATAATTAATACTAAATATTTTTAATTTATTAATGTTAAATATAGATTATTGGTTATTCAATATTTACAAAATAAAGAAATAAATATAATAAAACATTTAATAAAAAATTTGTGATAAAAATAAAAAGTAAATATCAAATCACGAAAATAATCAATATTTAAAAAATTAGGATGACGGTTGACCCTAAAGGCCATCCCTGCAACTTCCCGCTCATTTTGTACTTAAACGCTTCAAACTACACATTACGTTTTTGAGCTCTTTGAGCTCAAAAATATTATTTTTGTGTCAATTTGAGCTCTTCGAGCTCAAAACTCTAATATTAGTTTAAAGACACAATTTTTTGAATTTTCAAACGGCAATAATTTTTGAATGAATGAACCGATTTTCACGCGGTTGGCGGCAATCGACGCAGTTTTTGAAGCTCCATAGAAAATTTTCGAGTTTAAATCGATTGAGCCATGAATTTCGAAGTTATTACAAAAAAACACTTTTTTCAATTTTTTTCGACAACGATATCTCACGAACGCATCAACCGATTCTTGCGTTTTTGGTGGTGATCAATGGAAGTTTTCAAGGTTAAGAGCTGATTAGTTCTTAAAACCGATCGGTTTAGCCAATTCGGAGATATTTAAAAAAAATAAAAAAAAAAAACAACTTTTTTTTCACCTTTTTTTCACTTTTTTTTGCATTTTCTCGAAATCTACAGGTCCGAATCAGTTCAAATTTTCAGGAAATCTAAGTTTAGTGATGTCCTTTGGAATGACACCAACCGCGATAAAATCAGTCAAGTCGTTCAAAAGTTACAAGAGGTTTACACACACACACACACACACACACACACACACACACACACACACACACACACACACACTCGGGGCCGAAGAGATACTTTTACTAACTCTTGCTATTCACTCCAGTATTCAAAACAAAAAATTAAAATTTTACTCATTTTCTAATTAATAATTATTTTTATTACTCTAATAAAAAATAATCTAATGTCGTCCAGATCCTTTTACTAACCCTCGCTACTGATTTTTTAATTAATAATTATTTTCATTACTTTAATTACAAATAAAAAATCAACTACAGACGTCTAGAGCTTTTTAGTGACCCTTGTCACTGATTTTTTTATTTGAAATTATTCTCATTATTCTAATAAAAAATAAAATTCAGTCTTAGGTGCCCAGAGCTTCTTACTAACTCTCACTACTGATTTTTTGATCAATAATTATTTTTATTATTCTAATTAAAGATAAAAAATCAGCTACAGACGTCCAGAGCCTCTAACTGACTCTCGCTACTGATTTTTTAATTGATAATTATTTCCATTATTTTCATTAAAAATAAAAATTCAATTACAGCCGCCTAAAGCGTCTTACTATCCCTTACAACTGATTTTTTAATGGATAATTACTTCAATAATTAAAAAAAAACAAAAAAATTTCTGGAACTGCGGCCTAGTTTCTCTACTTGAGCCTTGCTATTGATTTTTTCAAATAAAAATCTCTCTAATAATTCCAAACATCTACTGTTTTCGCCGTTTTATTTAACAAAATTTTGTGCCTGTAACAAATTAATAAAAACATCCTTACTTACATTCATACGCGCATTGTTACTGACACACTAACGCTGCAGTACACTAGTGTACAGTCTCACACATTAATCTAGCATCACGTACGTCCGCCGTCTACGGTCGGTCCGTCCCCACTCTCGGTCTACTGCGTGCGAAGCCGGCAGCATCTCTAGCGTCTCACTCTCGCATTACCCACTGCCTTCTCACTTAATTTTTATTCTTCTCTAGCGCGCTTCTGATTGGTCACTTTCATTAATTAATAATTAATTATCTATGCGTCTGATTAAAAAATGGCTGAGGACTTTTCGTCTCAGAATAATCTCATCATTTGATCCCTACAAGGAAGTGCGTGACTTCTGGGACACCCTGTATAATAAGGTCAAAATAAAAATACCAAATATTTGTGAAAGTCATTCTTTAATCATAAAATGATTAATTTAATTACAGTTTTGTAAAAGCTTTGTATTTAAATTATTCTGATATCATAGTTTATGTATCAGAGTTTAATAAAAATTTTATTTAATTACAATTGTAGATTTCATTTTATCCTCTAAATTTACAATTAATTATTTTTACAATTTAATAATATTTTTCATCATTCTGTCGCTGATTTCTCTTGTTTAAACAGGGGCTTTTGAATATTTATGATAGCACAAATGACAAAAACAATTTCATCAACATGAGGCAAAAGTGACACTGGTACTTTGGACAGAATATTAAAGTCTTTTATTCTTTGATTCACTCGTTCAATGTGTATTCTCACTGAAGCAATATTGTAAGTCTCATCAACTTCCTCAGGTGTAAATTAATTTTTGTTGCAAAACGGAGGCATAACTAAAATCGCATTTTTTTCTTGCACTTTGGTTTGTATTTGCGGGAAACCTTTATCTGCTAGCACAACATCACCAGGTTCAATTAAATCTACTAAACCACAATCATTTGTTTTGAAACAATCACCAGCACGACCACCATAACACTTTGACAGAAAACTTATAAATCCACTTGGAGTACATCCTACTAAAAATTTCATTGTGTGATGATGCTTATAATCTGAATACATTAAAACTCGATGTTTTACTGCTGGTGGAACTTCTGTGTTTACTTCGGTGCAGTCAATAATAACACGTGTGTCTGGATAATGTAACTTAAATGATTCTGGTAAAGTTGCTTGAACAGCGGCTTTAGATGGCCGGAATATAAAATTTTTCAATAAAATATTTAACTGTTGCAAATTTTTTATGAATATTTTATTAACAGTAGTCCGATGAATATTAAATAAGACTGAAATCGCAGTAAATGTTTAACCGATTTTTAGCTTCATTAATGTAATTAATAATTTTGTTTTTTTGTCTATGTCAGAACGTTTACTTTCTGGGAGTTTATTCAAAAGCTATAGAAAGATAGATAATGTAACACCTGTTAAGCTACCCATAGTTTCATTACTTGTAATAGATGAAAATCCATGGAATCCTTTGCAGTGAGATTGTACAGACTCGAAATTGATTGGATCGCAACTGGAGTCTTGAACATTTTTTTTTCATAGACGGCATCGAAGCTTCACACATTTTATCAACAGTTTTTTTTACAGATATATTGACTTGGACTGCTGCAGTATTAATACCACCATGATTATTCATATTACAAAAAAAATTAGTACAACTATCACTTGAAATGCCAGGAATTAATTCCTCAGTTTGACAAGTAATACTTCGATAGGCTGGCGGAGAAACATTCATGTCTCTACGACAGCCGTCCTGAGCTTCTGCTATCATTTCTCCGGCGTCTTGCTCCATTTCAATGTCACTTGAATTATCAATATTTTTACCTTTGATAGAATTACTGCTATTTTCACTACTGTTGATACTGTCAATTAATGTTGATTCATTGACCTTGATTTACTTATTTAATTGACGTGCTCTTGACCGTTCAAATCGTTGCAGACGTTGAATGGAATTTTTTTTATTTTCTTTTCCAGGAAAAATCGAAGGAACATAAGATGGGTGATATGCGTTGTCTGATTTACTATTATTTATAAAATGTGCACTACAGATTCGTGTATGTTGATTTGGCTCCCACTGTTTCGGATTTTTACTAAAAAAAAAAAACAACAACAAAATTGTAACGTTAAATTGATACTATTACATTCATTTTAATTTAAATATTATATGTAACTTTTTATTCAAATAAAATACTACTCGGTTTGATTTTGTAATATTTAAATTACATGCCACTATTGTTAATAATTTTAATTTCTTACTTACACATAATTTTTTACAGCATTTATCCATTTTATACGTTTATCCTCCTTCCATGAGGCACCACATTTACTCGAGGGAAAACAATGAAATTTTACTGGTGTATCAACTTGCCACTTACGACGAGATTTTTCTGTGCATCCTTTGATACAACAAGATTTTACTGATCGAGACATTTTAAATAATTTTTCAATATTTATTTAAATAATATTAACTACATTTAAAATCACGTGTTGTTGCTTTAATTTTTTGCCCGATTATTGCACATTTCTGCTACCAGTTAGCCTGACAGTCTAGCGGCTCGGTCCCTATACTTTCTCCGGGATGAAGGCACAAACCGCAGCCGTATTCACCGTTAAATTGCGTAGAACATCTTAAAATAGGGCGAGCCAAAGAGTCACAAACTCCCATCAAAATAACTACATATTTTTTGTACTCTTGACCCGTGTAGACATATTTAAAACCTTTATTAAATAATTTTGTAGCTTCATCCACAAACGGCTTCAAATAACCATTCATAGACTTCGGTTTACCTGTCCCAAACCATATGCTAGATAGCATTATATGATTACGCCTTTTTATGGGGTCTAATTCATTAATAGCACATAAAATAGGATATACTGAACTGTTGGAACTGTCAAATATCGGTGCACCATCAACGCTGAAATTTATTGATATGGTATTATCGTTACAGATTCTTTTCTTATATAATTTTTCGTCATAAATATCTTCCAAACCATTTGTATGTATTTTTTTACGATTCATGGAGTGTAGATTATGAGCTTCAGTAGTTTCAAAAATTTCTCGAAGTTGATCTTCTAATGGCAGATGTAAGAAGAAACTTTTATCCAATTCACCTTCGTTTTTGACTTTATGCAAACAACTATCACATTGAACGATTCTATTTCTAATAGATCCTAAATAATTACCACATTCGATACACATATAATGAGTAGTGACGCGCTGTGAATATTTATCAATAATTTTTTTGAAATGATAAGATGAACTCTTATCATCAGATATATCTGTGGCAATGTTGAGAAGTATAGAAATGTCTGACGCTACTGTGAATGTTGTATTACGCCGCCATTTAATTACCAGTGTATGTAAATAATTTATTAATCTTGGCATTGGAATTTTAATGGAAGAGTTTTCTTCTTTACTGTTCAACTGCTTACTGGGAAGCTTATTGGGCAACTTAGTGAGTAGCTCAGTATTATTTGTTTCAATGTGGCAAATGTTATTTCCGGATTCAGTATTTGCATCATAATTGTTTACTTCTTGGTCTTGATTTCTGTAATTTGATGTTAAGTCTGGACTATTAACAACAGCTTCCAACGTTGGATTTTCATCACAGGGAATCAAGCTATTTAGATTTACACTCGTTTTATTACCAAACTCGTTAAATTCTGTTGAAACAGGTTTTCTAACAACTTTAAAGTATGGGGCAGTTTGCCTAAAAGTTTAAAATAGAATAATTAAAAAATTAAATTACCAGTAGTCCGTATTTATAAACTCGTTTGATTATTTAAAACGTAAAGAATACAATATACAAAAGAGAAAAATGAAAGAAGAGAAAACTTTTAAAAGTTTCTTTTAATTTATTTATTATTAGCTGATAATTTGATAAAATGATCCTATTTAAATGAAATTTTTGGAGCCAGTTTAAGGTGAGTTGAAGTTCAGGTATACTTGAGTCCAAGTAAATTAATTACCAATAATGTATCACAGATCAAATTTGATAAAGAAAATCTTTAAAAGAAAATCAATATATAAACATATTTGATAAGAGTAAATTTAAAAATTTTTTTCTTGAAATAATACAACTATTTTCCGTGTCTGATCGTATTTGAGTAGATTTGATTATTATATAACTAAGTTAATTTCTAATGTATATACATCAAATTTGTGAGAATATTACAAATTGATAGAAAATAGCAAATTTTTTTATTTTATGCTACTCACAACTTATTGTCCATTTCAAATCGTCAATTCGGTAAATTTTATTTGTGATAAAAAAACAATAATAATTACATGTTATTGAGTTATGCTCTCTCGATTTACAAAAAATTGTTCTTCATTTTTATTAAATTTTGAACTTTGATACCTAATTAACAAAATACACGACTGACTTAAAATATTTTATTAACTTACTGACGTAATTTCATTTTTGCATTCCAATATCGTTTCGTCCTAGCTGGAATATCATAAGTGGAATTAAAATTGACATATTTTTTATAAGGTCCCCGTATTTTTTTTTTTACAGTCGTTAAAGACATTCCCAATTATTGAATAATTATTTTTCAGCAATTACACTTAATTCACATCAATATTATAATTGCTTATTTTTATGCATATTAGAATATAAATTCGTTCATTAATATAGGCAATAAATGTTTATGAAATCTATTTATAAAATAAAAGTCATCTATGAAGTTTGCGCTTGTTTCGTTTTTATTTATAAACAAACTTTGACAATCAAATGAATAACGTGTAAAACTTGTCATAAAAAACTCACGTGAATTGACATTTATAAAGTCAAAAATAATTATGGAAAATAAAATTTTTGCTCTGTTACGTTGGGTTGGAGGAGAATATCGTGGTACTTAGACATCAGATGTCCCGGTAGAATGGATTAAAGATTTTAATGTTGAGAGTTTTGATAGTGAAAATGAAGATCCCGATTTAAGTTACGTTGTGGAGTGGCGTGTGAAAAATAAAATGCCCAAAAAGGGTTGGCCTTGTGCTGATGCTCAAGTTGTAGCCGTGTCAGGTAAGTTTTTCTTTAAATATACATTTCCTAGAAATTATAATTTTTTTTTATACTAAAACTCACTTTTTAAATGATAATAATTTAGTGCTTTTAATTATAATTTTAATTACTCTCAGTAATTAATGAATACAAGAAATCAATTAACATTTTACTATAATTATCACCACCACTGGAATTTGTTTAAGGAGAAATTATTAAATACGTTAAATAGTTGTTAATTAACCTCAAATTTATTATAAAAATGTAACCACATAATTTTTTGTGTGAACTTATATTTCTGTGAAGTTATAACTATATCATTTTTTATTTTTAAAGAGGACAAAAGTAAACTACAGCAGAAACTTCAATCGATAGAAGGCTCGAGATCGCCTCTGCGATGTAAACCAAAGAAAAAAAATAAGCAGAAGAATAATTTGATTGGTAACGTGGCCAAGAATAAAAAAGAAACCCCAGCAGCGATGCAAACATCAAACAATGACATCATTGGGAAAGCTTCAGTAAAATTAAATTATTACCCATCTATTATTATAATCAACATTATTTATAACTAAAATATTTTAGGGAAGCGGCACGAGCAAATCATATCAAAATAAGACGAAAAGGACAAGGCTTGATACTAACTCCAATCGTTCAGGAAAAATCCTACCACTCAGAAGAAACCTAGGTGTCGAAGAAAGATATGACGAAGAAGAAAAGCAAGATGGTGATGGAAATGAAGAAGAGAAGGACGGAAATCTCGAAGAAGAAGAGGAAAAAGAAAAAGATGACTCTGGTGAAAGCGATGGTAGCTCTAGCGATGAAGAGATTTTTGATGATTTTGAGGTTCCTGTAGCTACTGATAATAATGGTGGAATTGGAAAACTTTTCAAGAAGGTTTTCAAAGAATTAAAAACAATTGAATCAAAGCTTGATGAAAATCAACGAAATGATAATCCACGTGATCCAGACGATCAAGTTGAACTGGGACATGCAGGAAGTAATGTTTTTATACCATTGAAGTGTTGGACAGCTGCAAATGCTCAAACGTCATTTACATCAATGGCAATTTCTCTGGTGAAGTCAGTTTTCAGTACAGAAGAAAGGCTGCGAAGTAATCTAAGGGGAAAGCGAAGCAGAATCAACCGCGACGCACCCATTCGACCAGCCTTAGATGAACTGAAAATGAATGCGATTGAAGGTAAATACTCGATAGGGTAATTCCTTTACCGATAATTTTTTAATTTTGACCTTTTCTAAGCGAAATTTTTGCTCTTTTAATTTTTTCAAAAATTCAATCGTGGGAAAAAAAGCCAATTTTTATAGGGAACTTATGCAAGTTTTAGAAACCAACCTTGAATTTTTTGTGCGATCATTGGTTGCTGAGATATTGGTAATCAGACAAAATGATCTTTTTCCATTCAAACATTAATATCTCAGCGAGAAAAGCTCGTATCAAGATTTTTAAAAAACCAAATTAAAACTGGATAAACAAGTTGTCTGGTCCATATAAAGGTTAAGTCAAAAAAATTTTTTCCAAATCCGTAGATTAAAAAAAACCAAAAAAATTTCGAAAATTTTTTTTTCGGTGATTTTCCTAAGATTACTCGAAAAGAAATTTCAAAAAAAAATGTTCAAACTCAGATCCAAAAACTAGACACTTAGAGCTACAATTTGCTTTTTTTATTTGCTGTACGACCATTATTTTACAAGCTACAGTCTGTTTGAAATCCCCCAAAAATTTGGATTTTTTTCTTGCTCCCTTATTTTTTGTGAGAAGTGTATCTTGATTCTTTTTTATATTTTAGAAGCCGTAAAAAACAAGTTCGACAACTACAAAAAATCATATTTTGGATCTGCAATAAATAATATGCTGAATGATGAGCGTCGTAAAAACAACGCAGCTGCTAATAACCTCGAAAATGCAGAAGAAAATTAAACGAAATTCAATTGATAATGAATGATTGATTAAAAATTAAAAATTAACTTAAATTTAGACTATTTATTAGTACATTGCCTTATCCATATGATGAAATTGAGAAAAATTAATTTGTATTTGGTTAAATTATATAAAACTTTAAAAACATTACGAATTGCAGAAGATATGCTACAAAAGTTATAATTTAAAGGGTTATACGTAGTTGCAAGGCTAAGAAACCACATTTTTTAATGAATTTTTTATAGACACAGTTTTCATTCATCAATTACAAGTGATGGTTATTCGAATAGAGTCTACTTTCAAGAATAAAATAGCGCGTCAATCATGTAAAAATATAAATGTGCACCGATCTTGCAGAAGATGTTCCGAACGACCTCTAAAAAAAAAAAGCGGTGATCTCTATTTCGGTGGTTTGGATTATCTGAAATCAAAAAAATATGGTAAATTCTTTTGATCGATCGATTAATGCAGGTATTGGACGAAGGAATAAAAAAAATTATGATTTTTGTTGAAAAAAAATTTTCCAAATTGTTAAAAAAAATAGTCATAATTTTTTTAAATCTTATTCCTTCGTCCAATACCTGCATTAATCTATCCTTCAAAAGAATTCACCATATATTTTGGTTTCAGATAACCCTAACCGCCGAAATGGAGATCACCGCCAAGCGCCTTTTTTTTAGAAGTCGTTTGGAACATCTTCTAGAGGCTTTTAGAGGAGCGGTACACATTGATATTTTTACATGATTGACGCACTATTGTATTCTTGAAAGTAGGCTCTATTTGAATAACCATTACTTGTAATTGATAAATAAAAATTGTGTCTATAAAAAAATGATTTTTTTTAGCCATGCAACTGCGTAGAACTCATTAACCTCATTTCGTACTTCATGGTTAATAAATATTTTTAACTTCCCGCTAAAAATCTCAGATTTTCAAAAATCGGGAAGTTATTGTTTTCACCCCGTTTTGCAAAAATCGAGTTTTCATCAGATCTCGACGTTTGAAGGTCACAGGAAGCTTCCCTGACTATCCGCGCGAGGTTGTCACTATGTCTGTATGTATGTGTGTGTGTGTGTGTGTGTGTGTGTGTGTGTGTGTGTGTGTGTGTGTGT